CCAGGGCTCCCCCTTGGTCCCCACGGCCCTCAGTGGTCACCCGGACTCTGCCTGCCGGCGGCCTCCCCTCAGCCAGGAGGCCCCTCAGGGCCGTGTCAGGGGTCTCTCCCTTGAGCTGGGGCGGCTTCTCCCTGGGTGCTTCCTCCCCACCCTCCCCTCTGGCGTTCTCTCCTCCACCCCACTGCTCCTGGAGACCCCCACCCCTGCCCACGAGTGACTCATGGGGTCGAAACCCTCAGGAGTCTGTGCTGGGGGCTTTGCTCCCTGTGTGTCCTGCGAGTCTGGGGCACTGCGGAAGTCCCTGAGGGCAGGACCTCCTGGGTCCCCAAGGCTGCCAGGATTCTCCGCCCAGGCTTCAAGTTCAGCGAATGCTGTTGACTGACTCCTGGTTGGTCCCTGTCTCCAAGGATAGGGACAGAGTCACCCCTTGGAGCTGTTGCCGGGCCGGCCAGTCCTGGATGGGCCCAGAGGGAGCAGAGCAGGGCCCAGCAGCTCCGGCCCCAATTGGAAACCCCCTCTGGGGATGGGACCACGGGCAGGAGAGTGCTGGCCCCGCCGGAGTGGGCACCAGAGTCCCAGCCTGTGCCATCCGGCTTCAGCAGGGTGGGAAGCCGCGGGGGCATGGCAGGGCCGGTGGGCTGTCCCCCAGAGGGCGTGTGATCTGCGGAGGGACACCTGGATGGACGGCAAGGTGGGCGGCAGGCCCAAGCCTGGGGGTCCAGGGCGCAAAGCCTGAAAAGCTTGTGCTGGGTCTGCAGTGCTGGCCACCAGGGGGCACCATAGCTCTGAGATCAAGGCCGCACCCATGGAAGGCAGAGCCGCCGGGCTCACAGCCCAGCACAGCACAGGCCTTCCTGAGCCCACCTTGCCCTGCACACCTTGTCCTGGGCGGGCGAACTCCAGCACAGCCCTGAGCCCCAGGGCCCTCAGGTCCGACCTGGGTGGGGCACCCGGCGTGCCCACAGCTGGGGCGCGGGGAGATCCCCCCAAGACACCTGCTCCCTGGAGCTGCATGCAGGTGTGTGAGTGGATGTGCGTGCACGTGTATCCATGTGCCTGTGTATGTGTGCCCCTGAGCGTGTGCCCGAGCAGGCGGTGGGCCTGTGCCTGTCAAGTGTGTGCCTGTGTGTGCAGCCCTGTGGGCCCGGGGGGCCGCCAAGCGGGTGTGGTGTCGGCGTGCTGCGCCTGGCCCGTCTGCGTGCGTCTCCACGAGCACGTAGGAAGGGGCCAGAGATGGGAGCAGGCCGAGGAGAGACATTTTTCCAGCTGCCAGCCGGTC